CCTCCATATAGTCACCATATATAATTTTTAAATATAAAAGTGACTGTGTAGAGGTTACCTTTTTACAGTCACACCTCCATATAATCACTGATTTTGAGGGAACCAATTAGGTGACTATATGGGGGTCTGACTGTATTTAGTTTAGCCAATATAGTTTGGATATGATATATGGAATTTTACTATATAATTTCAGTATATTTAGTGTAACTAATTATAAATAATCAGTTTTGCATCATATAGTTTGATATAACCGGTTTTTAGTATAAACAGGTTCATATAACCAGTGGCAACTGTATTCTTAATACTAATAATTATTAAAATAATTATACTATATGACAATCAAATACTACTATTATAAGTACAGTCAACTCTTGATATAGCAAACTCTTAAAATAACGAATTTTTTAAACAAATATAATAAAAATATTCTTGTTATAGTGAATTGGCCAATTAAATCTCTTAAAATCTTCACTATAGTCTTATAGCAAAGTTGAGGTCTAGAATATAGAATTTGTTATAATAAGAATTTACTATAATACGCTTTATTTTATTACAATGTTTATAAAAGCATCTACACAAATTTTCTCCATTTCATTTGATAATCTTAATTAATCTATAATTTAAAATTCAAATAATGTAGATTCTAGTAATATAATTAACTAACTAGAATTACAATATATGAAAATTTTAAATATAACCTATTAAGATTAAAAATGTTTTTTTTATAAATTTATTTGAATTATTATTCAGTCATAAAGAATATATTAAACGATTACTTATACATGATTATGATATAAAAATTGCTGAATAAAAGAAAGATTAAAGTATATATAATACTAAATTAGTTGATCTTTTAGAAGGAGATTTACATTTAATAATAGATTACCTTTACAATTTAATTACTAATTAACATTTCAGAAATAAATACATATTCAGAAAAAATGTTTTACAATAGGCAGATTTAATTCTGCATAACTGGTTTATATCATTTATATAATAAAATATGATATTTGATTGATATGATTTTGATTAATAAATTAGTTGATCAAATAAATCTAACTAAAATAATATATAGTAACTAATAATAAAATGAACACGCTTTTTTCTTTTACTTGTTTGCTTTACCAAGAAAATTTTCTCACTAAAATAAACTATTGATATATGAAAGAAGTAAGCACTAAAATAATAAAATTATACCTTATTATACTTTACTTATTTTGACTTCTTTTGAACATATTGTTTATTATTAAGATACTTTTATAGTTTTTATTAAAAAAACAGTTTAGTTATAATAGATATTCTATTAATTCAAAATATCTTTCAATAAATATTTTTTCAGAAACTATTTTTGTTCATTTATTTGAAAATGAACTTACTTTTTAATATAATCTAACAAAACAAAAATACTTTTATAGAAAGGCTAAGAAAGAGAGATTTAAACAAATATTTAATTATAAATATTAAAGTTTTAAGTAGGATTTCAAAATAAAAACTATGAAATATATTTTATTTGTTAATTATGAAGAGGCATATAAAGTTAAATTTAATTAGTATTAAGCATTCTATTTATAATATTTATATATAATAATAATTGAAAAAAACTGATATACAGCTTAATTTTCTAGGCATTATTAGAACTTAACAAAAATGAGCGATTTTTTTCAATGTGATACTGCAACTTATATTTTTATAACTGATTCTAAAAAAATTATGAATAAGTATGTTAATGTTTATATTATTATATTTATACTAGTTGGTAATTCGTTATTTTGCAATGGGACTATAAAATTCTTAAATCTAGAGTTCTATATTAATCTGCAAATAACAGTCATTTTAATTTGCTGATTATTTAATCAAAAATTTTTAAATTTCAGTTGGTAAAATTCAGAAAATTAGGGTTATTATCACTTATAAGAACTCTAATGAAATTTATTTGACAAAATTAATTATTAAATCTGTCTTAGAGCACTTCCCATACTTGAAATTCAAAAATAGTTTCAGAGGGATTGATAATTATGTGCTATTTTTGTAATAATGGCTAATATATGCTATTTTGTAACAATGAAGCCAGGACCAAGATCTCATGAAATACTGTCATATTTTTTGCAAATCTATAGGGAAGTAGATCGTGGGTCTAGATCAATAAATAATTAACTCGGTGATGATGTTTGACTTTTTTTCGAGAAGGTTCTGACATAATACATATATTACAAATCTTTGAATTGGTGTCATGCAAGTCAATCCAATATCCCTGTTGTTTAGAATGAGACAAGAATGGAAATTGCGCCTCTTAGTCTACCGATTTACAGATCTTAATCCTATGAAATGTAAGGGGTATGCCTCTGGTCACATTCTACATAATAAACCAAATTTCTATTTACAGATCCGTTAGTAGATTTGTATAGAGCCCATCTTTTTTCTCATTAATTCGAAAAAAGAAATACTAGCACAGCGTATCAGTAAACCAGTAGGTAACTCAAAATCTTACTTTTATAAAGGCAAAAACTATTTAAAAATCCTACTACTACCTGAAAAAAAAATCATTTTATCAAAAAAATTTACAAAATGATTAGGTAAAAAAATTTACTGTTTGTTAATCACTCGTATACTCTAACTTGTATTTAATTTCTTTTATTATAAATGTTTTTTAGTATAATCACAAGAACCGTTACCATTTAACACGATTCTAATCATTTTTAGACAACGGAAAATAATTATCATATTAAACTTCATAAACTTAATGATAGAAATCATCCAAAATATGACCCACCTGAAAGCGAAAATCAAATTTGGCTCTTTTGAGGCTCATGCGTTCCTGTCGTCTTAGGTGATGTCGTCTTCATTATCAGCATTCAGGTTGATAAAAGTCAACCCCTTACGCTTACATATGATCCTGATAGTTAAGTCCCTGAAAAAAAATTCTCGCTTAGACCGTACATTCCCAACAATGTGACATAATTATTTAAGATCTATTTTAGTGATGGCACTTTTATTAAAAATTCAAAAAATTTTAATCTTCAGACTGTTGTAGACAATGAATTTGTTCATCCTATTAGTGATAATTTGTCTGTTTATAGTAAAGAAGACGATTATCAATGGAAAATAACTTTTGTCGATGATAAATAGCTTTTCATTGAACTTAACTTAGTAATCTCTTTCTTATATGTATTTTTTATTATCGTTATGTATATGTTCATAAAAAAAAAAAATATTTTTATTAAGTTCAAAAGAATCATTTTATAACCTAAGAGAAAAATATATTTAAAGTGAAAATTACTTTCTCCTAAATCTACTGCAGATTTAATTAAAGTAGCAGTGTTCTTATATATTTTTTTATTAAGTTTGTTCTAACATTAAATAAAAATTTTTAGTTCACGCCTAAATAATATATTTCCTTACATTGGTGTTGAGGAACTCACCTAAAGAAAAATCTCATGTAATACAAATTTTTATGATACGTTATGCGATCTGAAAATAATATAGTGACTCAAATCTAATTTAACTGAATCATAACGTTAGGAAAAAGCCAATTTACATGCATGTGAATATAAAATTAACATAGCTGAGAGATGACCCTAATAAATCCCAGTATACTTGTAATCAAATAAAATGAATTTGATATTTTATTATAATATACTTGTTACAAACTGCTATAAGTCTTTAAAACTGCTATAAATCTATAAAATCAGCGAAATTGTTGTAAAATGGCTAAAACTAACTACACAGTGAAATTTGATAAACCGGATCTTTGATAAACCAGATTTGGGCTTAAACTGGATTTTTTTGCTAGAACTAAATCACGTTTATTAAAATAGTTTTGATATACCAGAGTTTACTAGTAAAAGCTCGATATTCGCTATAACGGATCAATTTTCCAACCAGCTATAGTAAAAATGATTCGATAAACTGGAGCATGTGATTAAGAACTAATAAAATTGAAGTAACGTGATTCAGTAAATCTTAACTTTTCCCAGAACTATAAAAATCTTAATTCCAGCTGAAGTTATTGATATAATTATATTCAATTAAAAATATTTTATATTCATTTTCATGATCTTTATCATATAATAATTAAGATGGAAAGTTAAAATATAGTGTAGTTTGTCATCTTTAATGTGAAATATTTTTAAAAATTCAGTATAATGGATTTTTAGTATATTAAAAATTTTTCGCTATACCGGATATCCTGATAAACCAGATATTTTTAATGGAACTGATAGATCTGGTTTATCAAATTTCACTGTGTACTATTCTAGTTTAAATCTTATAGTAATGCAGGCGTTAAACAATCTGCAATATAGGTTAGTAGTGAAATACCAAAAATGTAGTGTTCTCGTGTTCATTATCCATTTAAGAAACTTCTTAAATATAATCCAAAATACTTTTCTAAGAATGGATTTATTTAAATAATTGAAAGAGTATATATAGATGGGGATTTAAAGTTGGGAGACGCTTGTTTAATATTTATTGCATTGTATGAGACTCCTTAATGTTTATCCATGAAAATACCATCAAATATGCAAATAAACATCTGAATTAATGCATTGTTAAAACAGCCAAAAAGCGTCTTGCATATTCTAACCCTGTCAGAAAAAAGGAAAAAGAATAGCATCAGAATTAAGTGAAGATGAAATTTATGAGATTTGTGGTAAATATACTGATTTTTCTAGTCGGGTTATAAAATTAGATGTAATGCAGACTATGAATTTTAGAAAAAGACTGCATATCATATATTTAATAGTGCAAAAATTATCCAACAGACTTGGAGAGCTTTCAAATTAAGACCTGAAATATGAGCAAAATGAGGTTGAAATATGGTGAGAAATGATGGTATTTCTAACAAGAAAATGTTTTTAAGTATAACTTCTCGTAAAATAAGAGTTCCTGATAATTAATATATAGACTTTATATGAGATCCCAGTTATCTTCTAGCAGAAATTAATTATGGAGATAGAATTCAAGCTAAAGATATACTTGCATATTATCAGAATTTTCCTATATTATATGATTATTATTCTTCACAAAGCTAGACAGAAAAAAAAGAGAGAATAGTTATGAAAACGATTAAATAATATAACATATATAGTTGCTTTTTTAGAATTACATTGGTAAGGCTATAGAATCATTGAATATTCAGAATAGACTTATATATTAAAGTGGCTATCAAATTCTGAATATTATCATATTGATAAATATCTCAACAATGATAATAAAAACTTTGTTAGAAGTTCAAAATATGCATGATATAAGTATAAATTGGCAGACAAATATTATCAATATAATTTACTAGATATTGACTATTATAAAACTGAAAATATTAGTATTAATGGAGAAACTACTACTATAAATTTCTCAGATTTACATAATAATTGTAAGTATGTATACCAAGTTTTTTGGGCTATAGATTCTTTATTCATGTAAAATTATTATAATCATAATATAATATAATAAATCAATTTATTTTTTATCTTTACTTGCATGTAAGCATGTGTGATATAAATTAACACATTTTCGATTCTCATTAAAGTATATATGATGTAATAGGTAATATATCACAAATCATCTATAACTCTGTATAATTTATATAACACCTTCTTGATCTATCGATCTGCGTGATGAATTGGTTTTTTTATCCTAAAAAAAAAATTTATTTTTTGAAGAAGCGGGCATTTATTTATGAGTTTATTTCCTCAGAGCTATAGGTTATTCCTACAATCTATTTCTACTAGATTTTAATCAGAGTATATTTATATAATATTACTAGGTCTTTATTACTGAGTAGTCGGATAAAAAAAGTTCGTATATGCAATGTCTCTAACACTATTCTAAAAGTTAAGATCTTTAATATATATTTTGCATACCTTTATTCTTGAACACAAAATTTTGATGTAAAATGCCTTCCATATTTCTCCTATCTCTTTTCTTTAACATGAATGTGAGTTAGAGAGGACATGAATAGAGAAGTCACCAGAGATTTTAAAGGGTAAGTATATAAATTCAAGTTATTTGTTACTTATTATTTTTTCAGCGAAATTCTAACATTATATTTTTTGTCATTATGTTTTCTTCTTCATTATATGAAAATATTTATAATTTTTTACTTGATTTACCCTTAAATCATATTATCACATTTTCTGTTATTTTTTAATTAATAGAAGATGATGCGTAGTATCCAAAAGATAAGTTAAGAGAAATAATTTATCAGACAATTATAGTAGTGAAAAAGAATTACAATCAGACTTTAGAAAAATATCTGAAACTCATTGATATTCCTTTGAAGGTTAGTGATTATTACTATTATTTTTCAGATTTATAATCCCAAATGATAATTACACAGAATGATATTTTTATAACCAGATTAAGTGAATACCTATAGCTATATGAACACAGGTTTAATCAGACACATTAATTCTTTAGACACACAGAGTGGATCTTAGTTATGGCTTATGAAGAAAAAATATAGCATTCATATACATTATCAATTGTATGCAGATCACATATAGTTGATGATTTACTTGGAATATGTTGATAAATGTGTACATACAATTCTAATATCAAAAGATTAATTATATTAATATTAATATAAGGTTTTGTGCAAATTTGATAATATATACGAAGGCATAAATAGTCTTCAGAGTATCAAAAAATTAAAACAGAAAGAACTACTCACTAAGAATAAAATTGAGATGAACTTGTGTGTGTTGAAAATTAATCTTAAAAATAGTAAGGCTCTGTATATCCACTACTTCTGTAAATATTTAAAGAAGAAAGTACTTCAGACTTATTATGACACGTTTCACTTGCTAGTCAAGTGATTTGTGCAGATTCAGAAATGGTGAGAATCTTAGAAGTAGATGCTGTAACGGATTGCATTGACAAATGTGGCACAGTATGTTGCAGATCTAAATGTCAAACATATCAGATATATCTAATATAATGGATATACTGAACATATTAGATATATTTGACATATTAAACATATTTGATATATTTATTATATCCATCTATATATTAAATTTAGTATAAATAGAGAATGATAAAATTATGTAAACTTTAGTTTACTTCTAGTTTACTTTTAGTTTTCCTTTTAGTTTTGCATTAGATACACCTAGTAGTTTTGTTAAAGATGCCTAGCCTAATTTTCGTATTTAGTACTTTAATTCTTTTTCTTTTTCTTATTTTTCTTATTTTTCTTATTTCTTATTTCTTATTTCTTTATCATTTATTATGAATAAACATATTATTATATTCCTGAATCAATTGAGCTGTCTTGCTTTTAGTCTTATTGAGAGTATACCACTGTGTAAATTATAAATCTTGAATTAAACTAAATTGAATCACTACGTAAATTTAAAAGAATCACTACTCAAATACCCTATCTAACTGTCACAATTCATAAGGATTACACGTTAACAATGTATATAATTTTTTATAGTAAGTAATTTAGAAAATAGTGTTTTATATTACCATAGTCCACTTTCGGCAAAGAGTATTATATTAATATTATAATCTCATAGGATCCAGCAGAGCGTATGAAAGTAACTACTCTAGACCTTATCAAAAATAATTATGATTCTTTCATTTTGAATTTCATAAACAGTATTACAGATGTTTCAAATAATAGACTTTTATATGATAAAGTTAGAAAGAATCTAATGAAAAACTAATAAAAGTTATGTTAGGTATACTCGATATCTTATGAGTATTTCAGTAATAAGAGTCTTAACAATCATATTTGCCATTTCTTAAAATTTCTGTTTGAAATTATGTTTAATATTATTCTTTATAGGAGAGATATTTGAAAAAATCTCACCTTCGGTCTAAAGCTGGTTAAGTCATAAAATGAAGAGATATATATGATCAATATAATAGTTTTAATGATTTGAGCATTATTAAAAGATCTTTCAATTAGAAAATCTAGTTATATTTCTACAGCCAAGCGTTAAAGTATAGCCAGCAAAAATTAAAGAAGAGTTGGAAAACGACCAGATGTTATATTTATTGCTAGTTGTAATAATAGGTCATATAAATTAATTTATGGTGAAAGTTCTCATATTATTTTTGATGAACAAAAAAAGGAAAATGATAGGGTAAAAACTTGGAGAGAAATGAATGATAGAATGTAT